CATTTGTAACATTCACTGGTTCAATAACAGTAACTGGAGAAAAAGTTGGATTTGATTCAGCAATATGAATTGATAAATTAAGACAACTGGCAACAGCTTGAATTATGATAGCATCAGCCCATGTTCCTTGACATGACATCCTTTCCAAATAACTTTGCCAAGAATGCCCAGTTTTACTCTCTATAAATTGTTCAGAGTGATTCACTAAATACTGAATGCCAACACTGCGCACATAGAAATGGCTCTTAGGATTTCCATAAAGTTGATGTGATACAGCCCTAAAAAAGCAATCACCACCTCCTCCAACATCAAGTGCAGTTCTGCCTAACTGAGACAATCTGAGTTCTAATAAACAACAGAATTTGTGGGCGATATAAAAGGTACTGGACACAACAGACGCCATTTTGTAAACGTGTACTGCCACGTTTGGCCCACACCCTCCCCCCACATATATGAACATAAAACAATGACACGACTTTGTTGACAAAATCAAACCTAGTATGGGGAACAGGGGGGAACGTGTTTAATTCATGTTTAATGCGGATTTAATGCATAAATTAATTGTCTAACGGGAATGGAGTGACCAATCCAACCATCACTATACCTCATGGTATGAAGTACATACCATGAGGTAAAAAGGAGGTAATCAGCACGTAAGAAGTTAGACAGTTATTGTAAAAAGTATGTTTGTGCTATCCAAATTAATAATTGTTGTTGTCGATCAGTTGAGAACGCAAAAGTCAGCTGAAGCATTTATATAAATGATAACACCAAAACAGTTCCTCTAGAAGAGAATGCTAATTCTAATAAGCGATACATGTGGTTGAACTAGCGATATTTCCATATCCTAGAGGAGAAAGTCCATTTAAACTTGTCCACAGTGTTCCGTAGCGCGCATTTGGTCTATATCTATTCAAGAAGACCTTTGATAGGTGTGTTTTGGTTCTAAGTACAGAGTTTTGCCGTCTAGAAGAAAACCACGACACACGACGCCATCTTTATTTTCGCGGTTGCCATCAAAAAACAAAACTTTCCCCTACCCCCTAGAATATGTAAAGGACCAAAACACCAAAGAAATCTCTAGGGAGTGGGCGAGAGGAAATTTCTTAGTATTTACAAACGGCCACCTGCCTCGCCTACCCTGCAAGGGAGTTCCTATTAGACCCCAACCACCCCTACACGAAGTTAAGTTAACCGAGTTAACAATGAAATGTTTAACAGATTCGGTCACGGTTTTTTAGTATGTCGTCATATTGTGTCCAGCTGACAAAATATTGACATCTGAGGGCCACATTTTCAATCAGGAACTAGCATTTCGCTTACTTGAAGAATCTTTCTCAATATTGTAACCTCAGTAGTACTTCGCACTGAAAACGGTGTTTAGATGCAAACACGAAACTACAATCTTCAGAATCTTGAATGGATTCTAGATGATTTTCCTTCCAATAGGGATATCTTTTAAACGGTTCGCCGTCCTCAATAATAGTTCATATCAAGTACAAAATGCCAGTGCCAAGGGCGATGAAGTGTTAAGAATATAATTGTACACCTAGCGTGCAAAATGTTCACATAAAACTGTGCTTCCTAACCTGCAGCTGAAATGTCTGTCATCTCCCGCCCGGAGATTAGGCTGAATGCGGAAGCTGACGGCCTGTGACGGACATCTCTGGCTATTTGTTTACATATCTTTATACCTATAACTAAATTTACAAATACTTCACCGCATTTTTCAAGCTGGGTCTATATTTATATCGGCTTCATTGCACTTGACATGCCGGGTCAACATTGACAATATTGCTTTCATGCGGACAACGAAATGTTGTTCGCTTCTGATTTCGCTGGTTTTTATTTTCAATTGTTTCTCAAAAACTTCCCTAATTAGCAAAGAGAAACGATTTTTGGATCACTTCGGCATCCACGAGGTCAAAATGCTGCTTGAGAATTATGTGCCATTGTCGTCAATATTTAACCACTGCTAAAACCACTGAGATGTGGAGAAGTGTCTGTTGTTTTGTTTTGGAAAGCCGCAAAGCCAGTATATATTAATCATAAGAATGCTGGTACTGTATAAATAGCTCAAAGCTACTTGGTAAAGTGGCAACACTGAAAGGAATTAGACTGCAGTGTAGTGTTAATTCCCGGCCCAATTCCCCCAGGGAGTATGACTAAAAGTGAGTGAAAGGGTTATACAAAACTAAAGTACGAGAGAGATAAGGACGGAGACACGGCCGAAAAAAAAAGGGAAGGAGGGATAAAAATGCATTACAAATAAAAACAGGATATTTCTTCACCCGTTCCATCTCCCGCTTGAAGGTAGCGTGAGTTGCTAGTTATTAAACTTACGGCTTATGGCGCCGACCGGCTTTTAATAGCTCATGGGTATATAACAAGCGAGGCTAGATATCTACGCTTATCACGCCTTTAGCATGTTGAAGAGGTGTTCTTCAATGTTTGATCACTTACAGATTAGTGTTAATACTGTCAATTGTGGAAACTAAGTGAATGCAAGCGTGATTAGTGTTCCAAACAGAAGAAGGAGTGAGCTTGTGTAGTGATGCGACTAGTCTTGAATTACCATAATCCACTACAATCAACACTGTTGACTGAGTTTACCTACTCCTGTTCTATTCAAAAGTAAAACAGTTTCTGTAAATGTATCATGCTGTGTGTTGCGTGAAGTTTTTCTTATTCAAAAGAAAATGCAAGATGAGAAAGCAGTTAAAATACGAATTTCTCGAGACACTGGATGTGAAACACTGACCTTCACTGTTTAATTCCGCCCACGATTGCCTCGTTTCTCGTCTCTTGAGGTTATCTTGCTGTCGTAGAAGTAAGCAAAGTGTAGTTACAACAGTTAATGGTTATGAAACTTTTTAAACGTCTAAAGACTGCGCATATTTCTCTGTAACGATTACCTCAGTAGAGGTCAGTTGACCAATCTCCTTACCCGGGTCTACTTCACAGCCGGCGTTTGGAGTTGTCAAGCAATGCTCCATGCTCCAGTGCGTTAACGACGTTCGTTGACACTTGATATTGAATAGGCCCTTAGCACGATCCCGTCACATGGTACAAAATCACACATGCTGGGACGTAAGTTGCACAGTGGGACTTCCAAAACAAAGCAACTCGTACCAGTCCACCTTGACCTGCCTTTGTTTTGGAAGTCCCACTGTGCAACTTGCGTCCCAGCATATGTGATTTTGCACCATGTGACCTGATCGTACAAAGGGCCTATTGTTTGATATTGTCTTTTCCCGACTGCATATCGATCGTTTGAGATATCCGCAGAGGGCACGGTTATTTGTTTCAAGCGTCAGAAGTAAACTGACCTGTCANCACATGCTGGGACGTAAGTTGCACAGTGGGACTTCCAAAACAAAGCAACTCGTACCAGTCCACCTTGACCTACCTTTGTTTTGGAAGTCCCACTGTGCAACTTGCGTCCCAGCATGTGTGATTTTGCACCATGTGATCTGATCGTACAAAGAGCCTATTGTTTGATATTGTCTTTTCCCGACTGCATATCGATCGTTTGAGATATCTGCAGAGGGCACGGTTATTTGTTTCAAGCATCAGAAGTAAACTGACCTGTCAGCCGCCAGTGCTCAGTGTAATTCTGGGATCTGTCGACAAAATTGTGGGGAAAATTTAAAGAGCTTTGCGTAAGGATATTGCATAAATGCTAAGTGCCTCCAGCCCGTTCTTTCTTGGTTGGGATTTTGCCATGCGGACTGTTTCAATGAAAACCAGGATGGAGAGAAAGTCGTGTAGTGAAACGAGTGGGTTCGAACAGACATGCAGTAGACTGGGTTCTACCAAAACGTGCAGATTCCGCTTACTTCCAGTCTGGAGCTCAGATTTCTCTGGAAATTCCACGGCGCCCCCATTGATATGAATCAGCAACTTGTTTAGTGAATTTTTTTTTTGTTCTGAACCAAAGAGAAAAGGTGAGTTTTTCAGGGTTGAAAAAATACTTCAATTTCTCGCTGTGAACTGCTGTGAATGAATTTTGAAATCTGCTCTTAGGCCTTTCCACAAGTATCCAAATATATTTTGGGATATTTAGAAAACGTCAAGTTATTTAGAAAATTTGGGGATATTTACATGTAGAAATATTTATAGGTTTTCGGCTGAGTCCTGTGTTTCCTCGCTATTTTCTTGAAACAGTATTCAGTTCTGTGTCGGAAAAAAAACAATCCAGTTCAGCGATTTCCCACTTGTATTCCATATTACTAACAGCACTGAAGCAGCAGGTTTCCAAAATGGCGGATGCTGGAAATATTGAAGCGACTCGTTTTCCTCTGCTCCTTTTACCACTGCAAGAAAGGTTTGAAAATTTTGAAAATTTGAAAATGTTGGCCTGAGTGATTCAAAATCGGTCTATTTTAAAACAACAATATAGGATATTTCAAGGGTTTTTCGAGACATTAAGAAATTTTGTTGTGATATTTAGAGAATGTTTTGAGAATTTCCGGAAAAATATCTAGACAATTATACGTGATATTTCCCGGGACACTGGAGAAAGACCTATGTGCTCGCACTAGTTGCACGCGTAAGCTTAAATTGTGCATTTCCTCTGCCTTATTTAAGAAAATTCTTTACTCCGGCATGGTATCAATTAATTTTTGAGTTTCTCAGAACAATGCTTAATCATAACCATTACCTTTTTTTCGATAGTTTCTTTTTTTCTGCTTGTTTGATGTTTTTGCTGAAGTTCTTGAAAGGAAAATCCCGCGCCTACAACTAAGCTATTAGAGACTTGAGCTAGAACGCCGTTTTTAGCAAAGGAAAAGTAACGCTAAGTTTCGCGACGTGATGCACACAACGCCATCGCTGCGGTAGTAATTAAAAGAAAAGCAATTGTAAAACCCAAAACTAAGGGCGATTTTCCGGGTGGAAAAGAGGGATTTTTCTTACCTTGAAAACCCTCTGACTTGAAATGCTTGTGTACTCTAGGTGGTCACAAACTTTCATTTATTTGCATTTATTAACATTTATTATTCTTTGCCAGATGTTTGATATTTTCTTGCTTTTACTACTTCCCCTCGTGCAACTTTTCTTTGGTGTGTAAGCTCTCAACACAGGGTTAGTCTGGTCGCTTGTACAGAAACATAACCGACAAAAAATAAAGTGCAAGGATACAATCGTCTCACAATTTTGCAGCGCGCTTGCGAGACAAGTGCGGCTTCTGCGAAACATCGACAGGTTTTTTCTCGCTTATACACGGCTCAAATTTCGGAAACGATGTGTATAAAAGACAATGAAACTTTTTGCAACTTGTTGCCATTCGGAAGTGTAAGATTTCGTACATGTTATGAGCGAAAAAGTTTAATACTTGGTATCGAATGTTGGCTCGACAATGCCATATTTTTAATGCTTTAGACACCTGTAAACAATGTCGAAAAAAATTTCAGAATCTTGACATTTTTGCGATCAAAATTGGCCATAAACTACCTACGTGATTGGAAGATATAAATCTTATATGTTTAGGAGAATATAACAACATGTTCTTTGAAACAAGAATGATTAATACTCACGTTTTGTACACAACAACAACATTCAAAAACTCACGTTCTCAACGCGACGTGACTCCAGTGGGATGACGGCTTGGGCATGTGCAGAGTGCATCTTGCTTGAAACTTTACTTCCGGCGGCGTCTTAATTGAGTTGTGGGCCAGAAGTGCACAAAGAACTCTTAAAATTCGTCACTCATTATAATAATTATCCTTTATCACCCCTGGGTAGCATACGGCGTCCGCAATTACCCTCCAACGCACACGGTTCTGTGCTGATGCCTTTGCTCTCTCCCAGGAGTAGCCCACTCTTCCCAACTCCTGCAGCATGGACTGCTTCCAGTTGTTCCTCGCAACCTGCAACTCTGATTCACAAACTCGCAGCTCGGACAATAGCTGGCCCCTTTCGACTGTTCAGTATGGGTAACCTGTGGTGCTTCTTAAAATGACTTCATCCGCATATCATGACTTAGCTTCTTTGGAAAATCGGGGATCGTTGGAAGAAGCAAAAGATTCAAATTAGTAGAACATCAAAATGGGAAGGGTAGAATTCACCAAAGCGTTTGCTCTTTTCATTAGGTATTGGTTTAAAACCTCATGGAGTGACTTTTGACGGGATAAACAAACAGAACATGCAGAACCTGAGGGTAAATAGACCTTTTTAGCTTGGGTGGATTGTTCCCCCAATTCAGACCATGTGAGGATTCTCTTGCGAATTGTTTCTTTGAAATCCTTAAATAGTCGCATAGTCGCGTCTATATGAATGAATACAATTCATAAAAATGGCTGTGGCTGTGGAACCACGAGCCGCAGGCGAGTGGTTCCGCAGTAAACTTTGACAATGTTATGACGCAACTTGTCATCAATAAGTGGACAGACGCGTAAAAAACTGATGTCAATTTGTTTTTTACAAAAACAAGACCCTAAAATGGTCAAATGCCGGGAAAAAATGAGAGGAAAAGACGCCGTAAACTCGTCGTAAAGAAAGATAACTGAATTTTTTCAAAATGACGCGAACATTGTTAATAGATTTTCTCGCTTTTTGATTGGCTACCTACAAAAGTCCATAAAATCTCGTTGGTTAAAAAGTTGACAGTTTAACAGCTGAAAGTTGAACTTGAAAGCTTGCATAAATTAAAATTTTATCCATCTGTATTCTTATTAATGAGAAAATGAGCCAATCAGCGCGCGAGAAATTAGACAGTTTTTGTAAAACAATTTGTAGACCGATAAAAATAACAAATCTCTGAAGAATATCACGTGGTCTCTAATATGGGAAAACAAACTGCCCAAACTTAAAAGGTCTTTTAATATATCCAGTTTCCACAGTTTTCATTTAGTTTGTTCTCGACTTGGCATTTTTAAGCGTGGAAGACGAAAGGCTCCTGCCTTTTGAACGAACGGGTTTCTTTTTGAAGGCAAGTTAGTTAATTGGCAAGGCGAGTTAATTAATTTGATGTGTTCATCCGCTATGTACAGGTAGTTTTAAATGGTTGAAAGACTTGAAAATTCTTCACAAGTATTCCTATTTTTTTCCCGTTGACTGTTCATGACCCTACAATTCAGATTGTGTTGTTCGAGGTAGATTGGAAGAAAAATCATATCGGCTAATAACGTAATCAAAATCAGAACTTAAGGTACCCCGCCTGCAACTCTTATCACACACATTTGTCCTTTAGTCTTTAGTCTTTTTGTACCACAATTCCGGGAAGCTGCAATGAATGCTAACGCGGTTAGTGTCATGAAACAAGTTCCAGACCAGAAGGAAGAGACATGTGACTATTCTAAGCGCAGAAGTTTGTCACCATAGTTATTGACTGAGTTTTTCTAGAATTTCTGCAGCTGCACTATTCAAAAGAGGGACAGTTTTTCTAGCAGAATGATAAAGACAGAAAAATGGCTTTCGTGTTTCAGTGAATGTCCATGAAATGGCATTAAATCGTTAGGTCCTACGTAAACAGTACGCCAGTACAGAAAAAAATAGTGAAGGCCCCAAACATTTA